CCTGCCTGTGCCGTCAAGCCGGGTCCTGGCGCCTGGCAGCTGCCGGTGCCAGCCAAACCGACCGAGCCAGTCCTGCCAGCCCCATGCGGCATGGGAAGGAAAGGCAGCGCTGCTGCCATGCAAGCTGGGTCAGGATCACTGGGCTTTGCTAGGCAGCACCTAGTACCAGGGCCTTGGCGGGGCTGGGGGGTCCCACTGACCTCATCCGGGCTTTGGCTCCCTTGGCCCCTGGCTCTGCAAGGAGCTGGAGGGGCGAAGGAAGACCCTGCCCACCCTGTCTCCGCCAAGCAGGCCCCCTCCTTAAAGCCCGCACAGCCACCGAAGCCAGGCTGGGAGCCCCATTTCTGTGTCTGGTGCTGCCTCCAGCTGGCCTGTGCATGGGGATGGGGTGGGAGTGTCCCTCACCCTGCCTGCTGGTGCAGATGTGGGCAGGGAGTCCCCAGGCACCAGGATGGGACTGGCAGCAGTGCCAGGCGCTGCAGGTGATGGGGTGGGGTGAGCAAGGTGGTGGGCACAGGGAGGACCTGGGGTGCCATTAGATGGGGAGCCCTGGGTGTTCACAGGGCTGGAGGAGCCGTGCTTCCCACAGCAGGGACTGTGCTGTCACCCTGGGATGGGCTCTTCCCGAACTCAGGCATTTTGTTTGGTGCTCAGCAAGGAGGAGGCATGAGGGAACCCATCCTCCCTTCTCCCCACAGCGTGGGAGGGGGCTGGGATGGGGACCCACGGTGGCAGGTGTCTGAGGTGTCCCCTCCTCGCTCCTCCAGGGTCCATCCTGATCTCTGCTGCCACGTGGCCCTGGCCCGTGGGCCAGGGGTCCCGGCCGGCTGGCTGGAGCTGGCTGGAGGTGACGCAGGTGTAACCGGAGCGGGGTGCCCATGGGCAGGTGGCACATGAATTATTCAGAGCCTCTCCGTGAACTCAGTGTGCTGGTGGTGGCACAGTGGGGTCCGGCCTCTCAATTCCACTCTGCCTGGGACTGGTTTGGCACTGGTGCACCCAGACATGTAGAGGGATCTTTATAAAGCACTGAGTTCCCCTCACGCTCTTGCGGGGGGAGCTACAGCCCATCCCCTACATATTGGTTGCTGGATGGGTCCCCATCTTCGCGTGCACCCCAGGACAACTGCTCCCCAAAGCAGTGCCAGCTGGGGGGTGGGAAGAGAGCCCCCGAGGGCCCAGCGCCAGCCTCCCCGGCTTGTGATGGGGACAGGGGCCAAGCTGTGAGCAGGAGGGGGGGCCTGCCTCCAGCCAGCCCTGCCGTGTTTTGTGGGGAGGCAATCCCTGAGGCAAGGGGGGGTGTGGAGCAGGCCAGGGACTGGCGCCAAACCAGCAGCCTCAACCAGCATCGACTACAAAGGAG